AAGGCCTTTGCGGCTTTTGAATTACATTGTCCCATGCTTAAGCCCAGAAATTTCCACATACTCGTATATATGTATATACAATACATAGTATGTGTAAAGCCGCTGCATTAAATTGATTGTAGGAAGCGTGGAATTCTCACGTAGGCACATTTTTATAAAGACATTGCGTTTATTTTTGGTTAACGGAAGTTCAGCGTACGCAAAGTGGAGTTGCATTTAATGCACAAAAACTGAACGACCTTAAGCAAGTAAGGCAGAGCTAATTTTGGACGGCGAATTTAAAGTGAAATACAAAAGTGGGCGTTGATCTGGAGTGTTCGAGAAGTCATACTCCTTCATACTGTTCTGCAAGGTCTTTCGTACTGATATACTTTAAAAAATACCATGATATTTAATTCAGCAACCTGTCACCGGGTGAGTAGCAGTGTGTTCTGCCATGAGGAAAGTTATGTGATTCAACTTTTCTAATTGCGGCCACCACTCGGCAGGAAATGTCAAGCTCTCCGAGTGTGTTTCTGACAATAAATAAGAACTTCTCAATAGTATCTATCATCAGCGCGGAGGCAGCAAAAACATGAAGATGCACACCAAGAATGGCACCTGTTCAATATAAGAAATACAAATATAAATGAGGGGTCAATATTACTTTAATGTTGCGGCGATGCAAAAGGCAGCGACCCATAAAAATGATGGTTCTCGTGTATTTCGTATAAAGAAATAGCATGAAATTAAAAAAATATATATATATATATAATTGCTGGTTTGTAATAACATCGATTCCTCTGACACATATTTAGATTCTGAAAGTCGTCGGCATAAAATATAATTTGTAACAATTCCAATTGATCGCCAAAGAAATGTCTTGATTTGGCTGGTGCTAGTTCTGAACAGCCTTTTGTTCTTCTATAGTCACTCAGTTTATGTGTCTTTTGAGACATGAGGTTTTGCGAGTGTCAGCACAGAAAAGCCTTCGGTACAAAGATATATGACGCCACGTCTGATCCATCTACAAGCACAGTAATATATATATAATTAACAAACTCTATATGTATTATACATATGGCAGTACCGTCAAACTAAACAAAAATTCCCGTCATTGGTAGCACTATTTTCAAAGTATTTTAAGTTGTGGCAACCATTTGGAGCTATCCATCATCAGCCGCCGTATGCTGACACAGCGAAGCAAAGTAGACACGCACGATTTACTACTATTCAAATCGGTCTGTATTTCATTGGATTAATACATCCGGTAGAATATCGTCAGGGTGATCAAACTTCATTTGTGGATGTTGTTGACTACGAGTATGTACAGATTCGAACATTTTAAAGTGGGACATGTTGTTCGACTGTATATAAACGAGTAGAGGTCGTGGCACACACTAACTCTTTGCCTTTTTTTGATATGAAAAATTGCTTATAAAAATCCATCAGCTGTAGGTCTCTTCATTTATAAGATAGACATCTAAAATGGATATATATGCACATAACTTAATGGCTGGGGAAAAGAAAAAGAGTTCCAGAAGTATGTATACGGAGAAGATATATTCTTTTACAAGGGCGCCTTTTACAATATTCGACCAGCAGAGTCGGTGAGTGGAGCAAACATGGAGCGGTTTCACATCGTGCGTATCCTCAGAAATGGCATAGAGTGCGCACCGAAGACGCTATTGCTGCTGTGGCGCAGGCGCGTTTACGAAATCCAGTTCGGGCAAGAATTGAAACCATACGACCATCAAGCGCTTCGCGCCGGTGTTCGAGGTAGCCAAAAAACTTTGTTCAGCGATGAAGGTCACTTTTGCTTGAGTGTGTACGTTAATAAACAAAATTGTCTTATTTGGAGTGACAATAATTAGCATTGCTAAGACGCAGTTATATCCTCAAAAACTCACGGTTTGGTGTGGTCCATGGCTATAGGGATTCATTGTTTTATATTTTTTCAGAAATGTAGACGGTCATAATGTTACAGTGAATGGGAAGCGCTTACTTGCTTACTTACTTACTCTACTGGCGGAGACACCGCTTACGCGATTATAGCCGATTTAACAATATTGCGCCATTCGTCTCTTCTTTTTGCTGTTTGGTGCCAATTGGAAATACCAAGTACAGCCAGGCCCTTCTCTACCTGGCCTTTCCAAGGGAGTGGAGGTCTTCCCCTTCCTCTGCTTCCATCGGCAGGTATTGCATCGAAAACTTTCATGACCTAGTCACATGACTTAGCCAGCGTAGCCGCTGCTGCTTGAATCGCTGAACTCGCACAGCTCATCGTTCCATCGTCTGCTGTATTCGCCGTTGCCAATGCGCATAGGACCATAAATATTACGCAAAATCTTTCCCAGGAAAACTCTTAACGCTGATTCATCAGATGTTGCCATCGTCCATACTTCCGCACCAAACAGCAGGATGGGAACGATGTGGGACTTGTAGGGTTTGGATTTCGTTGGTTGGGAGAGGTCTTCACTTTTCAATTGCCTACTCAGTCTAAAGTAGCACCTGTTAGCAAAAGTGATTCTGCGCTGGAATTCAAAGCTGTTATTGTTATTGGTGTTGATGCTAGTTCCTAGATAGGCGACGCAATGACTTCAAAGTTATGATTGTCGTGGGAGCCGAGTCGCGAATGCTATGTCTGTTTGTGTGATGACAGCAGATATTTCGTCTTGTCCTCGTTCACTACCAGATCCATATCCTTCGCTTCCTTATCCAGTGTGGAGAAAGCAGAACTCACGGCGCGGTTGTTGAGGCCAATAATGTCAATATCATCGGCGTACGCCAGCAGCTGTACACTCTTATAAAAGATTGTACCTTCTCTATTGAGCTCTGCAGCACGTATTATTTTCTCTAGCAATAAGTTAAAAAAAGTCGCACGGTAAGGAATCACACTGTCTAAAACCTCGGAGATTTCCTTCCCGATTCTAACGGAGCTTTAAATATTGCTTAATGTCAGTTTCCATAGCCGTTTAAGTTTTGCAGGGATACCAAATTCAGACATAGCGGCGTAAAGGCAGCTTCTATGCGTGCTGTCAAAGGCGGCTTTAAAATCGACGAAGAGATGGTGAGATTCGATCCTCTTCACGGGTCTTTTCCAAGATTTGGCGCATGGTGCATATCATGTCAATGGTCCAATCAGTTTGTTGACGGTGGAGTTCAGTCTTTCACACAATACGCTCGACAGTACCTTATAGGCGATATTAAGGAGGCTTATCTCACGGTAATTGGCGCAGACTTGTTTATGTATTGGGCAGAGCACATTTAAATTCCAATCGACGGGCATGCCTTCGTCCGACCATATTCTGCAAAGTATCTGATGCATGCACCTTGACAGCTCTTCACCGTCATGTTTGAATAGTTCTGCCGGAAACGCTATAGAGCGATGTTTAGTAACATTTTCGTGTCTTAATTGGAAGATATTGAAATGGATGACTTTTACAGCCAACGAAACAGTCAATTTATTGAAGAAAACCTTTTGCGAGAGCTAAGATCGTGCGATTTAACACCGCTGGAATATTTTTTATGGGAATATATGAAGCCGCTAGTCAATGCAGATAAGCCCGAGACGACTGAGACCTTAGAAAAGAATATTCGCTGCGATATTGCTAACATATGGCACCGCCTGCTGCATAAAGTGTTCGAAAATTAAGCCTCTTGGCTGGAATTTATTCAAGCCAGCGGCGGTCACTTGTCTAAAATCTTTTTTAAAATATACTGACAACTCTTTATCTTTATAATAAAGCTGAGTTCGTGACCATAAACTTAATGTACATTACAAGTAATTGTACTTGGAAACCTTATGTCCGACAAAACACCCTTTACTTCAAAAATATCCTGTCAATCGCATGAGGTATTTTGGACGATTTCGACCACAGGCAATGTGACATGAACTTTTATTTATTGAATTTCATTTTACAATTTAGTAGATGCCTGTCAAAAAAAAAACGGGAATAAAGATTGATAATAGTTTTGAGGGAAATAAGCATAAGACAACTAAAGCACATCGATCTGTACAGAATTGTATACAAAGCGATCGATCTCAAGTGTCGAAAAGAACCTTGAAGTTGGAAAAAATCAATGAATAACTCCTTTATTTCCTTTTATTAATTTTTTTTTTGCAGAGGTGGCAATAAAACTACCTACATATTAAGTACAAGACAGGACGACAACGTTTATCTGAGTTAAGAAATAAATGAAAAAGCGAAAAGTCCATTAAAAGGGTGAAATAGGAGACGCTGACCATACAAAGCTACACGAAATGGCATAAGAAAATGGGTTAGCGGATATTTAATGCCACATTTACAGTTCAACTGCAATCAAGCCAATTAAGTGCAGCTGCCACAGAGTCAAAACACAGAGGGAAAATATATTGCATACATGTGTGTATGTATGTATGTATGTATGTATGTATGTATGTATGCGTAAGTGTGTACCTTTCATGTGTAGCGCTTAACGAAAAATGCCATGCCCAACCTCGAGTGCGGCAAGGAACGAAGGCGGAGTGTCAAGTGCAAACTTGATATCGATGACCTGGGGCAATGAAAAATTTATTACCATCAACCGTTGCAACGTCCGAATCGATCCTTTGCGATGCGATCTTTTGCTGACCGCAGCTAAAAATAGCATGCTGATAAGCGGTTTACCAAGCTTTCTGCTTACGCGTGTGTGTGTGTGTGTATTTTTAATAAGAAGATTGAAGCATTTAAAAAGCCACTCAAGGACACGCTAGAGCTGGAACGGCATTTCTGTTTTTTTTTTTTGTTCTTCGAACAAATGTAACCGCAACAGTGACCGTCGCCACAGGAGGTATCGCCGTGTTTTGGCGCTTCTGCCGGACTAAATTTCAGTTCAGTTAAAATTTATCGCATTTCTTTGCTTTGTTTTTCAGAATCAATTAAGAAGAATACGCCATGCACAGTTGTCAGCCACGAAAGTGCTAAGCGGATAATGTTTGCTTTACGTATAAATAGGCAGGAGTCGCTATTGTCAGGCATCAGTTTTGTTTCGACCACGAAGTAACGTACTAGGCTACCTGCATTAACGGCGCGTGAAGCACCTTCAAGAACGTAGCAGTTGTATGGTACTAAAGTGCACTCTTTGTAATAAAAGTAACCACAAAAAAAAAAATAATAATAATAAGCGATACTTTACGGATTGTCGGAGACAGGGAGATTACCACTAACTAAGAGCTGCCACAACAATGCGATTATTTTTAGTGTCGGCGCTCAGCTTGCTAGCGGCTAGCAGCTGTGCAAATGCCGCCGCCGTTGCTGGTTATCCTTATCGCAGCGAGTTGCTTGCCTATAGTCCTGCGCGTGGTGAGTTTCCCGTGGTGAATGCGCTAACGCCCGGCTACGTACGCTTCATCGATCAACAGGGTGTCGAACATTTGGTTGGTTATAAATATCCTGCGCCTGTACAGAGTAGGCGCGACTCTAATGAGGAATATCTCTATCAATTGGCGAAGGAGTCGTTGAAAAAAGAAGGAGCAGAGTATATCCAGGCACGAAATGAGCATTTACGTTTGTGGGCGATAGATCAGTATGTTAGATATAGACAAGAAAGTGATCGTCTCAAATTGGCCGGACAGCAGCCGACAGCTGAGCTGATCGCTAAAATCAATGCACTGGAGGTTTTGAATAATGCCATTAGAAAAGGCGTCGATATTGAGAATCCCGCCACAAAGTCATTGCGTGAAGAGCATACGCGCTTGTGGGACGAATCGCGTCGCAGTGCGCAACAGGTCACGAAGCCACTTGCTGTGGCAACCGCTACGAAACCAACAATTTATTTACGTGTCGCTGGCGCTGAGCAGGAGTTTATTTCTAAAGCCGATCCAACACAACCACAAATTGCTGTGGTAGGTGAAACACCGGAACAAAAGAAGGTGCGGGAAGAGCATTTACGGCTTTATCAAGAGCAACTGCAGCGCGTGCAAGGCTTACAAGCAGATTCCGAAAAGTCCAAAAGCGAGACTTTATTGCAGGATGTGCGTATCGGTTATGCAGCTGGCAAATACGAGCAGGAGCTACAGATAAAGGAACAGCAGCAGCAACAACAAATACAACAGCAGCAGCAACAGAGGACCCAGCAAGAGCAGGCAAAAGCACAGGGTGTTAAAATTGTTGAAAACTTAAGCTACATACAAGAAACGCCCGAAGTGCAGCAAGCTAAAGCCGAGCACTTACGTTTGTGGCATGAGGCGAAATTGCGCGCAGATAAAGAGGAGCAAGCGAACGAAAAACACGGGGAGCATCATTCCGCAGGTGACGCAAAGGAAGGGCGTTATAATACACAATTTTTGACCAATGCGATACCAACAGCAGTCCCCAAGCAGACGCGCCCAACCTACGAATTGCAACAACTTCAACAATTAAGCACTTACACAACAGCTAATGAACCGAATATGCAACTGAAAACCGATGCGAATCCACAAGTGCCCACACCCGTCCAAGACACACCCGAGGTGCAACGCGCACGCGCCGAACATTTTCGTATTTTGGAAGAATTACAAAAGAAAGCAGATTTCATAGCAGATATACAGCCCAACAGTGAGATTGCAGCTCAGCCAGCACAACAACAAGCAACTCAAGAAAACATCAGCGAATACGTAGCCACAACAAAATCGATCACGACCGACGTTGCGAACTCTCAAAGCCAGCCACAAGCACAGATTGCCGTACAAGAAACCGAGGAAGTGAAACGTGCACGGGAGGAACATCTTAAGTTGGTTAAGGAGGCACATTTGAAGGCGAGTCAATATCAAACCGAAATCACTGAGAACGCAGCTGCGCCAAAACCCACGTTCTACTTGGCCACAACTGCTGATAAAACCACCGATGAGCATGCCGATGAAGAGACACGTCTGCGTGCTGAGGAAGTGAAACAACGTCAAACTGAATTGTTAGCTGAGACTGCACGTTTGAGGGAGGAGCAACGTTTGCAAGCTGAAGAACTGTTGCGTTTACAGCAAGAGGAGCAACGTCGTCAGGAGCAAGAGCGTTTAGATCTTGCTGCTGAAAACAAAGATGCGGAAAACTATGCTGAAAAGACGCAACTGCCAATTATTGTGCCGGCAACAAAGGATACACTCGACCAGTTAATCCAAACACAATTGCAAACTGGCAGCGATTCCGCTGTAACCTATGACATACGTGACAGTGAGAAATATGCCACAAATCCATATTTATTACGTTACGCCATTCAAACGCCAAGCCCTCAACAACTCGGTAAACCCATTGCTGCTACTACCGCTTATTTCTTGGGCGCACAACAATCGGCCCAACAGCAACAAAGTTATGGCCAACCTGGTGTTTACTATCTGCGTGATGCTAGCGATAGCTACATTAAATTGGATAATCCATATTTTCTACACTACATAACCAATCAACAGGGTGGTAAGGAGATGTTGGCCACAGCTGATGCGGCTTCCCTAGCGTCCGCATTGTCTGCTTTACATCAAGGCCAAGGCCAAAGGATTGAACAGCCAATTGCCCCGTCTTTTGCTGACAAACCCATTGCGCCAATCATTCCAATTGCTTCTCTGCCTTCGAGCGCGCAACTTATACCCAATGCACCAATAGCATCCAGCGCCCCACTCACACCAATTACTTCAGCTCCACCGGCCCTTCCAAGTGCGCCAATTTCACCAAGCGCTCCCGGTTCCGCCAATATGAAAATCTTTTATGGCAATGAGGCTGCGTTAGCTGCTTTGGAGCAAGCGACACGCGATCATTTTCGGGCGCATGAAATCGCCTTGGAACGTTTGCGTTTAGCTAATCAAAAGCAACCGGCGCAGAAGGATTGCAACTGAGCGTAAAGGCTGACGAAGCATTGGATCTTGTACTCAAATTTATTGCTATCTTTAAAGATCGTCTAAATTAAAAAAAATTGTGAAATTTTCTTTAGTTATTTTAAGTAAGTTGTAATTTTAAGATTTTCTTCCTTTGTTTTAAGAAGCAATATTGGAAAACAATAAAAAAATGGTTTCGTTGAAAACACAAACTAGCAGTCTCTAAGTCTCAGCTTGCTATCTGCAGAAGTTCGGAATAAGGAAAGAAAGTTAGAGAGAGGGAGTTATCTTACCATAGTGATATTTTTATATATACTCATTTTGCTAAGTTCGAGGAAGACCCGGGCTTAGGCTTATTTTGCGACAATCGTAGGGCAATACCTACTTGTTTCCCACACAGAGATTGTGAGCATTGTCGAAGGTGCAAAATAAGTTCGACTGAGGAAAAGATTCTACTAGATTCCTTATAGGCAGCCAAACAAAAAATTTATCGTTTTAAAAATATCCAAAAGCGAAATAAATACAATGAAAGCAAAACGAGACTGTGGAAGAGAAATACCAGTTCGTATGAAAACACGGGCGGATATGTATATCTTGTACCGCCCACTAGGCTATCTGTCATATTCGATTGCATCAGACCTTTAAATCAGCGCTATAAAATGCGTTTTTAAACAGCGTGGACCGTGGATTGCAGATAAATTAAAGAATTGCTTGAGTTGAGTTGAGTAAAATAAAATTGCGTAAGTGAAGTGAAGTGGAATGTCGGAACGCTGGACTACTACTACTTTTGGAAGCATCCGGCATTAAGGCATTTAGGATGTAATATCTCCTAGTAATATCTCTAGTATTAAGACGACTTCTCTAGTTCAACCTTCAAAGTCAAATATAGGTGAAAGATAATAGACGAGTTTTCCAAATCAAGCGAACTATTTACAAAAGCTAAGTTGGAGAGAGGCATCATGAGCATATTCAATGTCATAAGAAGAGAGATCGCGTGCTCCTTTTGGATACTACAATCTCTTAGTATCTAATTCACCGAGAAAGCCAATATGTCTCAAGACCTGAAAAACTAAAGTTTAACTTGAAGTGAATATTTTTAAAAACCATACCATGGAATCTAAGTCAATTAACCGAAACTCAATTGAAAAGTGAATAATAATAATATATTTTTGGTACCGAGAGAAAGGGGAGTGGCAATTCTATTCAATTGTGAAATTCTGAAAAAAACCGCTGAGAAAAGAATCGTGCTGAATTACTCTTACCAACAGACATTGGCATGAGTAGACAGTTGAAAAGTTAAGTTTTTTAAAATAAGAATTTTTACATAATACTTAATGGCCAGCATAAACGAAAAAAACTAGGAGAATTCCGCAGTAAAATGACAGGTAAAAATGGTCTATTTTGAAGCTATAAGGTTTGACGTGGTTATCCACTTACAGCTTACTACAGCTTCCTTAGTAGTATCTGCTGGGATACCGTTTATGTTAAAGTCTCTTTCGCTGAAGGTTTTTGAGCTGGGTAGTTATGGGTTATATCTATACAATTGTTACCCACACTTGGAAAACCCATTCGTGAGTCAGAATTTGAGCAGGATCTTCGTATTTAGTATACATCCATTAATTATATTACATATTCAAGGTAGTAATCTGGTTACTCAAATTCTTTTCAATGCTCTTTTTGGGAACATTTTATTTGGAAAAAAACAAATTCCAATAGATTCATTTGGTAAATATTATTACTAGTGTTTCAGAGTATATAAATAATTATTTTTATCTTTTTTTTTTTGGAAATCTGTTGTTTCGCAGCTAAGAAGTGAGCTTCGGTGATTTGGTTGATTGACGCCAACTGTGAGCTCTAGTCGTTCTGGTTGGAAATATGATAAAAGAATTTCGTTGAAAAATAAAAAAATTATCGACTTCTAAGAAAAGTTACATTTTTTTTTAAATAGAAATCAGGCTGTAAAATGTTAAGTTAGCGATAAACAATCCTTGTTTCTGCCAGAGCTAATGATGAGTAGAATAACATATTCAAAATTCACTCGGTTGGATATAGATGCCATAACTTCGTCAATATTTCAAATTTCATTCTAAAATTTTTACACTGTTTTCTTAATATAGTACTTTGGAAAAAAAGATTTTTTGGAAAAAAAAATATTTTTCCAAAGGAAGCGAGCAGACCCTTAAATCGCTACAAGTGTGAAATGGAAAGAGAATGGAATATTCCGGGTTCAGTGTTTTTAGAACTTTTTCAAATCATTGTTATAACACGTTCTTTGGTTTCTCATCTTATACGTTACCACGTCTTCGATTTCGTTACCAAAGATCACACTATAGGGAAACACCTTGTCTGAAGCCTCGTTTGGTAACGAACGTCTCGGTCGTGGTCAAAGGGCAGTGTGTTGGCACAAGCAGTCTCTAAGCCAGGACTGACAATTATGAAGTTTGCTGTTGTGTGTTTGCTGCTATTAACAAAAAATCATCCACCATGAGCGGCTCTCCTACTGCCAAACTTTTAATGCGACCGTCTGTTGGAAGCAATCGCCCAGAAGTGCCTAGCTCTGGCTGACAGGAGGAGAATCGTGTTTTATCAGGAAAACGTCAGCCACCTAGATAGTGGTTCGTCAGAAATTTCGAGAGCTTGGCTGGAAGGTTCTCATTCGTCTACCTGATAGTTTGTTGATAGATATGTTGCTGTTTATAGTACATTATTTTACTGGTGAAGAATTGGCCACGCTCGCAGCACTTTTTCGGCAATAGTGATGAGAGTTTCTATGAGAGAGGCATCTTCAAAATTGCAAAAAGTTATGAATGATACTTTTTTGACATATATGGAATAATTCTAATTATGGTAAGTACAGACTTTAACTTAATTCCAAAGTAATGGATGACTTTTGACATTCCCCATTGGACCAGCGACAGACCTATTCGAAAAAATTTATTATTGCTTGACATTTTTTTACGGAAAGTGGATCGATATATTTGAAAAAAATATATGTACATATTCATGGCACCTTTTCGCTTTCTGGAAATGGATCTGAGGCATGGAACCAAGCCCGATTTGCTCGAAATATAAATAATACTTTTTTTATAGGAAAGAAATCACTAAGAGATTGACAAAAATTGGTATGTTTTGTATAAAAGCATAAATCGTAATAAATCGTCTTTAGGTATGCTCGCTTCACATTTGCTTTATTCTGCGGCTGTGGGTTACAAACTTTTCTTATACGTCCAACTTGAGTGTGAATAAGCCTAGATCCGAAAGGTGCGTTTGGCTTATTTCGAGGCGCTAAAGTTGACATTTTCGAGAAAAACTTTGAGCAGTGTAGAAGTGACCCACACATACAAATACGTATTTAGAGCAATAATATAATAACACACATAATATTTTGAGATAGATGCTGTTTAACTCGGCTTTCGCTAGATACTTTAGCATATTCAGGGACTTCCATATCAAGGTTGAGTTTTTCCAAAATATTGCGATCTGGACATATATACATAACATAACATAAGTACATCATTACCATCAGATATGGAAGCTTGATGAATATTTTTTCAAAATCTAAGCCACCTTTCGCATACATTTTTGAAACAGTCGACGCAGCAAGCTTGAAAAAGTGAAAACAAAATAAAATTTGCACTAAAAATGTTTTCTTCCCTTCCTCTAGTCGGCCAATGGAAGATATGACACAAAAACAAAACCAGCAATTTGCATTGCATTCTGCTATAAAATATGCAGGAATAGCGGTAAATTTATTGTATTTCAATCACAGCAAAACACAGGCACAATATGTACAATATATACAGGTGTCCCTGGAGCTTTTGCAAGTGAACTGTTATTATCATAAATTTTCAAACTCACGCCTCTCCTACGTATTACAAATAGAATCTAGCTAACGGCTTAGGTATTGCATAAAAAATTGAAACATGTAAATTTTCTGCCACACCGAATGCAAACGATATTCCTTATGCAAAGTTTATAGAAATGCAAAAAATCAAAATCAAAATAAAAATAAAAATAAAAATTAAAATAAATAAATCAACGCGAATTGAGCAGATAATTGAAAACACCTGAACGGCGCCATTAAAACGGTGCTTCAAAATGTGCGTGTGATTGATTGTTTTGGCGATCAGTTGACCGTTATTTATTTATTAGCGCATAACGCATGTGAATACTGCGCAGACAACCGACTAGCAACCGCCGCACGCCGCCAACACGAGGGCGGGCAACCTTCGGCCAGTTACTAAGCGTAAGCTGAGCGGCGCTGTGCAGAAAGTCAAATGGAAATTTCATAAGTAGGCCATAACTGTACTGGAGTGGTTGTACAGTTGTGGATGTATGCAAAATATGGATATGTGCATAGATAATAGTTTTTCGCAGCAACCGCCTCGCGACAGGTTGGCGGGTGCCAGTTTAATATATTTACAATCTATATATATATATATATATAATTGTTTTTATTTTATTTAATTTCCTTTTATTTTGATGTACAAATGTATGTGATGTGATGCCGCGTGCTGTTTATGGGCAGCTGAGTTATCTACGCAAATAACATTTGCAGATATTCAAATATACATATGTACATATGTACATGACTGTTTGTATATGTCGTTAAATAAAAAGAAATAACAACAATCAAATCATATGCGCACTTCAGCGTCCATTGATTTCTTGACTCTGTTGCCATGTTCGTATTACTTTTCCCGCAGCAACGTAGTGAAATTAGCATTTTTCTAGATTTTTTAAAATCGCCCGCATATTCGAATATAGCATACGCTTAAGTAAACACACTCTTTCAAATGTACATAGTTACATACTCGTACATAGTCGTATGAACCATTCGATTATACTTCTAGCGCAGACATTTATCAGTTTTTCTATATATAACTACAAGAGTACTTACTTAACTTTTTTTATTTACTTTTATTTAAGCTTTTTTTTTACTTATTTGCCGTTAGAGCAATATACTTGACCTACCTCAAGCCAAATTGGGCAGTCAGCCACATGATAATTACCGGTTTCTAAGCACCCATAATTTCGGTGGTAAAAAAAATTACTCAGCCCTTCCATCTATCTATATGTGATATTTGCAATTGCATATAAAGTGGCGTAAATCAGTTTTTGATAAGATAACGACAGTAGGTAGCGAGAGAGATAGTGGCGCACATATGTATACACACATACATATGTACATGCGTGATGATTTATGGATAAT